GTCCAGTATTTCTACGGTCTGGCAACTCTACAGTGGGCACGAGGTCACTTGGATGCTGCATCCAGGCTTGGGGCCCGCTCCTGGCTGGTGGGCCTTAAACTGAGACAGCTTCCGTCTTCCTCCAATGCTGCCCCTACTTTCCCCAAGCTGCACAACTACCCTTTGAGGGAACCGTCGAAGCTTCTACATGTACTAGCGTCCCCGACCCAGACATTTGGCTAGCAAAGACTTCCTCAATCTTCTGCATCGAATTAAAAAAAAACTTTCATCTTGGTTTTACTCTGCCTCTTCTTCTCTCCCCTCCTCTTCTCTTCTCTTCTCTTCTCTTCTCTTCTCTTCTCTCCTCTTCTCTTTTCTCCCCTCTCTCTCTCTCTCTCTCTCTCTCTCTCTCTCTCTCTCTCTCTCTCTCTCTCTCTCTCTCTCTCTCTCTCTCTCTCTCTCTCTCTCTCTCTCTCTCTCTCTCTCTCTCTCTCTCTCCTCCCCACATCCCCTCCTCCTCTCCTTTCTCCTTAATCCCAAGGTTTTACTGGATGAGCATTAAGGAAATTCGCCTGCAATTTGGGATTAGATGAATACTCTCATGGGGGAGGGGGGTTCCTTGCCACCCGATACCTCCCACTTGCCCGAGAATGGAGGGGGACAACATCAGGAACCGACAGCGACCGGCTCCTGCGCGGTGGGCCTTGGGGACCGCGAATTCCAATGCGCACCGCCGCCCCACTTCGGTCAACCTGACCCAGGCTAGTTCTGCGACTGCCAAGGAACCCGGCCTGAGGAGGCCAGAGTACCAGAGAGATCCAGCTAGAGCGTGAACCCAGGGCCCCAGAGGGCCAATCCAGGCTCACAGCGGGGAGGCCCGGACAGGGATGCTGCCAGTGTACACCCAGGACGTCGGCATTTTCGTGCCCACCAACTAGTTCGTCCTAGCCTGCGCCATTCCCCGGAGCAGGGGGCAGGAATGTATTTCGTTTCTTTCTTTAAACCTCAGCGCGGTCCCAGTGGCTCTCAGCCTGACCGCCCGCCTCCGGTGCAGTCCCGGGAGCCTAAGGTGTGTGCTGGCTCGGGCCGGCGCTGTGCTCTGCGCTGCTTCTTTTCCGCCTGTAGGTTTTATCTCTCTCCCTCTCATTTCCCCCCTTTCCTCGCGTTCTTTTATTCTGCTTTCTCTTTCTCTCGCTTTTGTGAATGGGCCGCGGTGTCTTTGTTCTGGAGAGAAGCGCCCGTGTCGCTGACTTTTGTGAACCAGAGAGGGATCTTGTAAAACCTCCTTTTCTCCTCCGTGGTCCCCCGCTCACACCCCTCCTTCCCTGCCCCTTTGATTAGATGTTCCCTCATCGTTCAAAAAAAATGTAATTTCGTTAGTCTGGCGGCCACTTTCTTTGAACATTAGCTCGCTTTCAGCTCCAACTTCAATTAGAAGGAGTTGATTTTGAGAGATCAACAAAAGAACCGACCAAAGCCTTATTAAAGGTCCTAAGAAGATCTCTCGGTCCTTTGAGAAGCAGTTAAGGAAACAGTGTGCCCTCCATCATATTCTGTTACCGTATTTTATTCGGACTCCAAAGAAAAGTGTCGCTTGGGGGAGGGGAGAAACACTTTGATGAACGGCAGTCGCGGCCCCTTTTCACTCAGCGGGCTCCCCCTTCCTTTTGGTCGCCCCGCGGCTTGGTCAGTGATCGGTGCGGACCGCGCGGCCTGGGCATCGAGGTGCTCCGGTCTACAGTGCTCTTGGAGGTTCCCGAACTCACCCACGCAATACTCAGGCTCAAACTTTTTACCCGCCTGTTGGGGTGAGAACGGGAGATGAGGAGTAAAGACTAGGAAAAGGCATAAACGTGGTCCCTCGTATTCAGTGGGAGATGCCATTTAAAAGAATTGCCGTGCTCGGGGTTGGGCCAAATCATTTTTTTCTCCCTCTCTCTCTCTCCCTTTGAAAAGTCCACACAGGTGGAAGTCTTAGCAAGTTATTCGGCTGGGAACTGGGGTCTTCCAGTACGAACAATCCGGGGAAATTGTTTCCAGGAGGCTCCTCCCGTAATATGTGGAAAATGAACTGAGGGGTCGGGGTCTGTGGCCACATTTTCCACCAGACTGTCCCTGGTTGTTGGAGACGCCAAAAGGCAGACCTAGTGTGAAAAAAAAAAGAATTTTTCTATCAAAACCTCCCGCCTAATAAGTAAAGTGTGTGAATGTGTGTGTGTGGCGGGCGGGAGAGGGGCTGC